TAAAGGAATAATAAAACAGTACCCCCAATTTATTTGGGCCTATAAATTTCAAAGCTGCACCAGCATGTAAGTCAAAAGTATGTTTTAAAAAAAAAACAACCTCTTAGAATAGTTGCACATCAGAGTCACTGATGAGAGATAAATAACCCCTAGTGGCCTCCAATATGAGGTATGTGGCAGATTTCTCCTTCAAGCAGTTCATTATGAATACTAACAGTGCTTTCTCTTTTCAGGTTCCTAGTAGCAGAACAGGTGACCTGAAGGAAACCATTTTACTGCACTTCTGCAACACAATCCTTAAACACTGTTTTGGAGGGCTGTTTTCCCCAGTATGAAGCCATCCATAACTCACTCAGCATTGACAGGGACATCACACTTGAATAATCTTTAGGGACCCTCAAAAGGCATGCACTTTGGAACAGTTTCACTTTTAGAAAGTACTTTTGAGTTTCAGAAGGGCCCCAGGAAGTCTCTCTGGAAGGTGGACACATTTAACAGAACACTCCCAGCTACTGAACACAGGCACATTACCATATTTTTTAACAGCTTCTGTGGAGAATGCTCTCTGCTGCAACTTGAGAGCAGTTATGCAGAAGTCAGAAGTTGCACTGCAGGAAATCAGTGCTGAAACTGCAGTCATAGCTCTTTAAAAACAAATATATAAGCAGACTGTTAATATCAAGAAAACTATACTCTGATAATCCACTGCTGACAAGTGGAGATTCTACCAACCTCCTAGTAACAAAGAAGAAATTAATGGATATAGGTCTCATTCATTCCACTGGCATTACCTATTTAGTCAAGTGTCAGTGAATTGTCACATCGCCCAGCAGTTACAATGGTCTGGTCCTTCCACAAGTAGTATCCTGAGCTTATGCTCCCATCTCTCCCAGGAGATAAAAATAGTTGCAACCCCCCACTTCTTTCAGTGCTTACAGGCTACCTGCTGTATTCTACATTGTAACTATATGCATATACTGAATACATAGATGCAGCTTAAGGTCTGAAATGCCTGTTCAAAGAAACAACAGTTTACAACTGGCTTAAGAAGGAAGCACATGAAATCAAATATTTTTCCTTTTTTTTACTGTTATTACCCAGTCCTGAACAGTATTTGCACATGAAACAGTTAAACCAAGATCATAAACAAAATCATGCATGATAAAAAGATTGAAAGCATTATTGGAAGTGACTTGTTAACACTGTAAGTCTACAGATAATGGATCTCAGCAAGTTCAGCTATAATTCGGTCAATATTTCTCATTTGGCTTAATGGAACATGACAGATAGCCAAACGAGAGGCATTCTTTCTTCAACATCCTGAATCAAGCAAGTATCCCAATATAAAAAAGCAAAACATTTCAGCAGAACAGGGCATTTCAACAAAGCTTATACCTCTTCACACAAATGCAAGTGCTGTAGGAAGCAGTAGTGACCTTTATATGGGTTACTTTGAAATCTGTTTCAGAACTTTTCTACGAAAATTCCCTCAAGACAAAACATGAAAATATTTTAAAAAACAAAATTAAATTAAATCTTACGGCTTGAAATGCAGTATGCCAGCCTGCAGTTGATCCTCCTGAAGAGTTGCTTGTTGATTGGCCAAAGTATAAGTGTAAAGAGTTGAATGAAGTTAATGATCAGTCCTGACACTATAAATATGTAGCAGATCAGAAGGTGGCAAATGAACTGAGACTTCAGAAAGCCAATGATGTCCATGATTTGCTGAGAAAGCAAAAGGGTACCTTCGGACCAAATATTCAGAAGACAACCTGCAAAACCAAACAGTATCAGAGGTTACAGGGTGCATTTATTTCTGTAAACAGACTGTTAATACAGACTTCCCATTTTACACTTAAATACACTAAATACACTAAAATGAAAAGTTAATTCTATTGTAGAAAAAGGTCTGATGACAGTATTTGCAAAACTAAGCGTGGGAAGACAATACTATATTTCTGAAACAATTAACATTTGGCTTTTGAAACAAATTTTCACATTTCAATCCTAATTCTGCAAAACCCATGAGCATATGACTCCATTCCATGGACTACAATACTCCTATATCAAGTCTTTCTTGATAAAATATGAGCAAAATAATCCACTTATATTTTGAATTGTACTGTACTTCATAAGACATATACTGTGGCTTCTCCTATCTTCAGGAGCAGCACCAAAGAAAATGCAATCTTTAGAGCTTTATGTTAGAAGTCATGCCCTCCTCTACAGGCTATGCTAGCCATGGTCGCCAGCCAAGAGGTAGCAGCAGCCCCTTAATTCTAGCTTTATTGGCTTGTTCCCTTGTCACATTCAAATAGCAGTTGATTTTGGCAAGAGAATAAAAGCTTGGCTATGCACAATACACACAATTTGTTCAATTATTCCTTGACACTGTAATTCTGTCAGTTGTACTTCAGAAGCCCAGAAAGGAAACATTAGTAACATTACTAACCTATGACCCAGCAGTGTTTCCAGAAAAAAAAAAAAAAAAAAAATCAACTTTTAGGTTACTTAAGAAATGTTTGTATAATTTTGGAAAGGACCAGTCCAACCTTAGCAGCTGAGCATTCAGAGGAAGCATCCTCTGCCAAGTATTCTGGCTTACCAGATACCAGAGACCTCCCCCCACCATCACTACTCTCACTTGTTAGGAGAAAAAATATGAAGACACAATCTCTCAGTAAACAACAGCCCAGTATTTTGAATACAGTTAAGCAGGAGTTGCTGCCATCCTGTTCCATTCTTACACTGTTTCTCCCTCTGAGGCGTAGGAGAGTTTGCCCAGAGAGGAAGCCCTGAGACAGTATTTCTGAATGTGCCAGTCATAGGCAATAACAAAACAGCAGCTGTCAGCATCCCAGGGAATATAACTGATAAAAAAATCTTTATGCCTATCCTTTTAGTTTATGTGAGACACCATTATGTGAAGTACTAAGTCTAGATCAGTGTCCCGAAACATTTGTTTTACTGCCCTTGCTGACTATGCTTACTACAGCAAAGAACACACACCAGAATTGCTGCAAAGCGATAGGAAGTTATTCAGCCAGGTTTTCAACCACAAGGAAGATGAAGAAAAATTTAAGGAGGAGAATCTGTATTGTTGTATAATTTATGTAAAGAATTTATGGCAGGCCCAAGCCTATTATTAGCAGACAAAATGTGTCCTTTGTGTATCACAGACTTTGTTCCTTTTATCTTGCTGTACTACTCAGTACCAAAGCAGACACCATCTGTAGCTCAGAATGGCAGAACAGGCCTCTGTTCATTGTAGTAATTACTGTCATGACACTTGCAAAAAGCTTTTCCAGCTTTAACCAACCATTCTATTAAAGATAAATTTCTGAGGGTGGCAGACAATTTATTAGCATGGGCTTTGACCAAAGGCTTTGGTTTTGTTTAAGGCTAAGTAGAATGAGAAATGTTGTCTAGTAGGAACCATTGCAATGATTCATGCCCCACAGTCCCTCCATCACACACTCTGAAGATAGTGCCAAACACTTTTAAGGAAAAAAAAAAAAAAAGCAAGCAAACCCCAAGTTTTGAATAAGTTTACAGTGAAAGAGAAAAGATTTCACTTCCCTAATTCAGACTACTGTACTTCAAGTAGCAGGATTAGATTACTTCTTTAACACAGTCAGAATGGAAGCAACCAGTGACTTACAAGTAGATAGTTTAAAAGACTGTGCAGTGCCCGAAACCGTTACGACAGGATTTATCCTACCGTCCTTCGCTAAAACTGTTCAGAATTTTTTTGTGCTAGCTGGCCTGTTCAATTCAATCCCACAGAATCACTCTAATCTAATGTAATTCCCAGAGATCAGTAAGGGACTAGATGAAAAAAAAAAAAGCCATACATATAAAATAAGATTAAAGCACTGTCTACTTACACTGGAGACCCGAAAATTCACTATTTGATATAAACAACAGAAATCTACTGTAGTAAGAGGTTGATCAACAGACTTTGTGACAAGGAAGAATTCACCAGAACATTAGTCCACCAATTTGCGTTTTTTTTAATTGTAATAGTAGTCAAACTGTGTTAAAATGTTATGTTTATACGATTCATTTACTTCATACTGGGTCTTCAAAACCTCACAGAATTAAAATAAATAAAGATGAGATGACCCTGATAAAACATAATTACTGTCTTACAATTTTATGAAGCCACAATGGAATGTTTGAAAGTAAGTTATTCCTTGCTTTCATACCTCAGTCACCAAATTTCAATTCTGTAAAGCTTCTAAGACATGTTTTAAAGGCAAACTAAACCTACTTAAGCAGTACCACTGAAATGCATCTAACCTAACTTGCTTGTAAAAGGAACAAGAAATCAGAGCCGCTGCTTAAATTTTGCTTTTCTGAAAAGCAGGGAGACTAGAGAGATTAATTTCCTCTTCTATTAAATGGACACAGAGTGCTAGTTCAGTGTTCTGTTTCTCAGGCATAAGCTCATTCTTAGAAGATTTTTTTAATATACTTTTTGGACTGTTTTCTTTACCCAAAATCCAAGAAATTTAGTTTATTCTTGGTATAAGCAACAAAAAAAGTAGAAATTTATTTTCAAGAATCAATTCTGAGCTTATGAAAAGAGGTCTAGAAGCTTGCTTTTTAAGAGTTCATAGGAACTTCTTCCACTTGCTCTTTTTCTTACTGAAGTTCCTCATGGGTAACATCAACGTAACACCAGTTTAAGTGATAAAGAATCAGGTCTTTAATTCTTAATCCTTGACGCTGGTTTAATAAATTACACGGATTTCCTTATAGATAATGACTGAAAATTACAGCATCTTTTGAAAACAAAAAGGCCAATCAATGCACTTTCTCAGAAGCTATTAAGATTGGAGAGCTGCCAAGAAGCTCTCTTCCATCAAACACCCCTTAAAACAAATTAGGAGAAAATGGCCAGCCAGAGCATCAAAAACAGATAGAGGCATTCTTTAATAACACTTTTCCTTTGGATAGAAAACAAAAGACTCAAACCTCAAATGTCTGTCCAGGGAGCAAGTCAACAAGCATCTATTCATGTGACTAAGAGATCACAGGATCAGGTTTAAAAGCAAACTCCACAACTATTCATTCTCTTTCTTTTTCGCCCCAGGTTTCATTCTTCAGCAAGATCCACTGTGTTTTCTACTTCAACTACTCCCAGCATTTCCTTCTGCTTAAAATAACTGACCAGAACGTAGAAGAAAAAGCAGTGTTACACCAGTGATATGCAAGGTGAACACCTCTCTTCTGACAGAGGCTGCAGCCAATTAACAATGCTGTTTCGTACTTCAAAGTCTCTAAGAGTTTCAAGACTAGAATTAGTGATCTCATAGAGACACAACTGTTTGAACTTTTACAGAAAGCACAAGAATGAAGCAAAGAACTCTCAGCCACCTTGTCCAAAGTTTACGTAGTGAAGAGAGTCCCTGGAGTGGGGAAAGCAACATGGTACCTATCTGACAGCATCTGGACTAAGCTAATGTTCTCCATACTTACAAACAGATGGAAAACAGCACTATACCTGGTTTCAAGCACTATGCAAAGGTTTTCACTTACACCTAGTCTTTGATAAAGTCCTTAAATGCTTTGCTGCAAGTTGAGAGCAACCAAGCTCGTGATGTCGATGATGCCCGTTCTTGCATTTTTCTCATCTAAACCAGATTCTTGGATGGATGAGTTACAGAGAACAGGACTATGAAAATAGGCTCAGGTCAGATTACAGCAGTTTCAGTAGTGCCTCTAAGTGAATTTCAGTCACCATCAGAACAGCACACATAGCAGCACTGTATTTCATATCAGAATCCATTTTAACAATGCTTCTGTAGATGAAATACATATGCAAGGCAAACCACAGGAAGCCCTTGTGCTCTTCTCTTTCTGTCAGTGAGCATCTTAAGTTAGCAAAAGTGAGGCTGTGTCCACATATGTATTTGCCTTCAAGGAGAATATATCTGTACATGACACACAAAAAACCCCAAAATCTGAAGGAAGAATTATCCATCTATTTGCCTTGTACTTAATTAGGATTTGAATCACTTCCCACCTCTCCCAAAGGCAGCTTACTAGAGCATTAATTCCTGTGTCGGGTTTATGCGGCAAAGTTTTGCTAGCAGGGGGACCTGCAGGGATGGCTTCTGTGGTAAGTCACCAGGAGCTACCTCCAACATCAGACAGAATCAGCTCCAGCCAGCTGCAGAATGGACTCGCCGCAGGCCAAAGCTGATCCCATCAGCGACGCTGGTACCACCTCTGGCACCACATTGAAGAAAGGGTAAAAAATGCTGCACAGCAGATGTGAGTGAGGAGTAAGGAAAACATGAGAGAAATAGCCCTGCAGACACCAGGGTCGGTGAAGGAGGGGGAAGAGCAGCCCATGGTGAAGTAGGTTGTCCCACTGCAGCCCATGGAGGGGAGCCCACTCAGGAGCAGGTTTTCTGGCAGGAACTGCAGCCCATGGGGGACCCAGGCTGGAGCAGTCTGTTCCTGAGGCTCTGTACCCTGTGGGAGGGACCCCATCAGCAGCAGGGGAACAGCACGAGGAAGAAGGAGCAGCAGAGAGGAACTGTTTCGGACTAACTGCAACCCCTATTCCCATTCCCCTGTGCCACTTGGGGTGTGGTAGGGGGGAAGGTAGAAGAGTTAGGACTCAGGTTGAACCTGAGAAGAAGAAAGGGCTTGGGGGGAAGGTAGTTTGAGTTCTGTCTGTTTTTCACTGCCCTACTCTGTTATCAATTGGCAATAAATTAATCTTCCCCAAGTAGACCC